ACTGGTTGGGGAGAGAGAAGGAAGACAGGATGAAAGACATGCCGTGGAAGAGAGCCAGAGATTAATTACGAGTATTATTTTATGCGGAGAGGTCTATTAACACATGGTGACTGAAGAAGAAATACTCAATGCATCATGGGAATCCCCTGGCCGTCTACACCTATTGCAGAATAACTAAGGGAGGATTCAGGGTCACCTGATCCAATCCTAACTATATGCTTTATTAAAAAGGAAAGTTTTAAGCCTAATCTTAAAAGTAGAGATAGTGTCTGTCTCCCGAATCAAAACTGGAAGCTGGTTCCACAGAAGAGGGGCCTGAAAACTGAAGGCTCTCCCTCCCATTCTACTTTTAAATACTCTAGGAACAACAAGTAAGCCTGCAGTGTGAGAGCAAAGTGCTCTAATAGGGTGATATGGTACTACAAGGTCATTAAGATAAGATTGGGCCTGATTATTTAAGCCCTTGTATGTGAGGAGCAGGATTTGTTTTCTATAAGATGCTTATAGATTATCTCAATTAAGAGTATCAGTCTGCCAATATTACTCAATGTTATTGAGCTATCAGGGATACGACAGTGTCTGTAATGTCCAGGTCCTCTGACTTGTTCTCAGTCGTCCAGGTTGTGGTAATCTAAGGAGCTTGTAAAAAAAAAAAGTGACTGCACTTCTTTACAGAGGGTAGGATATCATATAGAATAACAAATAGAACAACATTTTCATCATTGGTCCTTCCTTGTAGCAGGTTTATAAGAGAAAGCATGAAATCCCAATGCACTTCAAACCCACACCCTCAGACAAAAACTGGTTCGTCCCAAAGACAAAACTCCCAAACACATTTTAAACAACGTAGTGTATGTTGTACAGTGCAGTGAGGAATGCTCAGACCTCTACATTGGAGAAACCAAACAGCCACTCCATAAACGCATGGCACAACATCTGCATCTAAAAGATAAAGGCCAATCTTTCGAGGATGCCAGTGTTCACATTTTGGACAGATGGTTTGAAAGAGGAGTGAAAAAGGCCACCTATTCCCTCTGTGAATGACCATCTTTGAACAGGGGGGTGGCTTACAACACCAACTTTCTTCCACCTACAATGCAGTTTTGAGATCCCTTCACAGGCAGCTTAATGCCCACTCACAACTTGTGTCAGGTGATCTCAGTAGGTCACATGGTAGGGCGAGTCAAGGTCTCACAATGGGTTTTCACACCTTGGCTCTTTTGATGAGGCACATGATCAATAGTGGGTCAATGACCCTTTTAAAGGAACAACTCCCACTAGGGTTTAAATACCTGATTTCGTTTTAGTACTGATGAAGCTTTTCAGATGAGAGGTGAAACGCTTTCAAGAAACCTAAAGAAGTCCAGTCGCTTTTCTTTCCAGGCTCCTTAAAATCTCCCATATGTATTCATGTCTGATGACTGCAAAAATCATAGCATACAATTCATAGTCTTTTACTTCAAGCTCATCAATTGTTTGGTGGTACAAGCACTTTATTTGTGCCTTTATACATGTGTATAGGCATATATGCCAGTCTGTATTTGTGAAAATTGGTCTATTAACACCATGAAACGGGGTGGCATAAGACAACATGAGCACAAACAAAAAAAACACCAGCCAAACCCACAAGCTAACACCTTGTCATGTGGATCTTTTGTTCAGATAGCTTTCATTGATGGGATGCTGCCAGAGCTGTCCTCTTTCCTTAAAAGGATGAAGTCATTAAGCAGAATGGGAGGGAGAGAGAAATAAGTACATGAAAACAGATTTTTATTTGTATCCTTAGAAAGCCTCCCTCTAGTTAACATTGATTTTCTCTTGCTGCCAGTTCATTTTCAGAGTGTTCTACTTCTACTTGGCATCCATCTGTGAATTTCTTCTCGTTTCTTCTCCCACTATACTTTCTTCCCGTTTTGTTTTCCCTTTGCCCTTCCTCATTTCTGTCTTGTTCGGCTCATTTGTAAAAGAGCCAACTGTCTACATTCATCAAACGGGAGGAAACTTTATTGCGAGTAGCGTGCAACAGTCGACCATCAAATATGTATATCCTTGTACTTCTTTGATCATTATCATCGTTTAATGTTTCAGTCAAGCTGTTTTGTCTGCTTCCTCGTGAAGGCACAGGGGATGTCTTTATTTTATCCTCTTTTTCTTAACATAAAGGTCCCTCTGGCACTCGTGGTCTGTTTGCTGTGGATGGTTGATCTCCTTTCCTTTCATCCCAGTGTTATTCCATTTTATCCTCAACTCTTCCAGTCTATGTATGTCTTCCTCATTGCTTTTGCCCTATCTGGATCACATTGTGCAAGCTGCTTCTATTGCTCTTTCATCCACATCTCTGCCTTAGTTTCTCCCGCTCTGGCTGTCTCCTTTCTCCTTCCCTGTGTGTTCATCTCTCGAGATTAGTTTACACTGTAGCATAAATTAGAGCTGAGATTAGAAGGTCATGTTCCATGAGGCAAACTTGCACAGTTAAGCCCCCCCAAAGAGAGCCTTACATAAGATGGGTTACCTATCTTACCAAGCACTGTGTTATCTTCTTCGGCTGGGAACTTTTGTGGAATCCTCTCTAAAATAATATTAATGTTTCAGTCGAGTTTTATAACCTAAAATGATCCTGGTTCTCATTGTAAGACAATGTAAGATAATAAGTTGAACTGATGCAATTTACTAATGTGTATTTGCCTCACTTCAATGAAACAGAGGAGTGAAATCATAATTAGTTCTGTTGTAAGCTCTTATTATTATAACTGCTACAGAGCACATTCATGCTAAGTGTGTTTGGAAAGGTTTGTTAATACAGTGGATATGGTTTTCTCTGTAGTTTGTTAGATGTGCGGAGTATAATTTGTGGCAATAAAAAATACATGCAATAATTGATCTTAATTAAGCTCTAGTTTTAAAATCCTTTTTTACAAAACTGACATGACATGTGGCGCTTAAAAAAAAAAGATAAAATGCATAAGCATAGCTAAGTAACCAATGTGAGAACTGGAGACGACTTTTTCTCTGAAACAACAGATAATAATGGCTCTGCTACTGGAAATAGTTACTAATAATTAACTGAAAGTGAACTGCTGTACGCCCACCTTTACTTGACATATTGTGCCTTATCAAATAAAAGTAAAATTTATATACAGCAAATAAAAGTCACTTACGTAACTTTCCAGTATCTTTATAATTTCACCAGATAACAGGACATTAACCCTTTTCTTTTTTTTCCCATTTGCCTACATAATTATCCTAGCAACTGCCCATCCTCAAGATACTGACTTGTGGTTAAAATGTCCATGGGTGAAGGTCATTAGGTTTGTTGTTATTAACATTTTTGCAGTGGTTCCCCCATGTTTTATTTTGGCGAACTCTGTGTCATCACTAACACTAATGACATGATCCCTTATGGCTACGCAAGTATTCTCACACCGCTGTGTATGTTTTGCACATGCTTGAAATGAACCTCATTACCGAACCACTAATATGTAAAGCTGATCGACCGGTCACTGATCTGGGCAAAGAATGCTAAAAATAGGTCCTTGCCGGTTGATCGATAGATCTCCAGATATAGACGGATGAATCAATGGATGGAGTTGGGATGGTGGCTCATACTTAGCTCAGTACTGGAAGCAAAACTCACTTTTACTGTCTAATAATGGATGTTTCTTTAAAATCTTTTTAAAGAACAGATTTTTTTGACAAACAGAAATTATGTAAAATGAAAAATATTCCAAACATGTACATACTCTCCAAGAGTTTTATTGAAAAAGAAAAAAGTAATTCCATAGCTGCACTTAATGTGAATTATTCAGACAAACGTACAAGTTGGTGTGCTGTATGCCAAAATTTTACCTCACCTAACCAAACCACTACACATCACTTTACTTTACAACATTTCTAGTTCTAGTTTCTGGTGACAGCTGCTGTCCCTGAAATATACATGCCCCTAAAAATAATGGATTCTCTGTTGCAGTGAACAGAGGGTGAGGGGAGGGTGCAAACATATGCAGTGAAGCTTACAAGTGACACTTAAAAAGATGTTAATGGAGCATGGAGACTGCCTTTGACTTTGATGGCTGTCCTGTTCTTTGTTTACACTTTGTAAAGCAACAAAAAATCTTCTTCACATATTCCCTCCGCCCCATCATTTATTATTTATTTAGTTGCTGTTGTTAGCATTAATTTAGTTCAGCAGACATGTGATGATGCTATATAGACACATATACACACATACATGATCAATAATTTGTATTATCTTCCCTGATGATGTGTTATTGTGCTTTATTCAAGCCTCTGGCTTTAATGAGGGTTAATACCATCTGCTGATTAGACAATACAGTCAGACAGGAAGGCACACGCATACACAGACACATGCTGCATGCTGCAAGTGAATCATTTAAATGGACATAATGGGCACAGCAGTGTGGGTGTGCAGGCTTGGCTTTGCACTGTATGAAGTGCAACCATGCAGTCTAATGTTTTGGGAAGGAAAACTGAAACATATACACATAATACGCACAAATTTCCCACACATCTTCTTATGTGAATGGGAAGTGTCACACCCCAGAGAGGAAGTGGTATTAACAGTGAAGGTCTTTTCCTATTTCACGCTCCAACCATGTGTCTACCAATTTGCATCCCCTACTAACACTTCTACATCTATTGAGATGTAAAAAAAAAAAAAAAAAAAAGGAGAGTTGCAACGGAAAGTAAGAGAGAAAAGGGAGTTGGCAGCAAATTGGACGGAAAAAGGTAGAAACCACAAGTGGAGAAGTGGAATAACAAGAGAGGAGGGTCATTAGCCCATGAATGAATGAATGAATGGAGAAAGAGTATGTAGTAGGGAATGCACTAAATGTCAATGCACAAGATGGGGGTGAATGGCAATGGTTGCTTGAAGATTTTGCTGCCAGGTGTGTAAGTGACACAAGTGCTCTACTTTGCCATCTGTCCATTGTGATCGCCTGCATTTCTTCACTCTAAGTCCAGGTGTTTTGTGTCTACAGATTTCAACCAGCCAGCCTGGTGGAGAGGATCCAAGCTATCGCCCAGAATGTCTCTAACATGGCCATCAGGGTGGAGCAGATATTGCAAAATAGTATGGTGCAAGGCAGAGGTACAGTATCATTATCATCATGGTTTCACCTTCTTGTTTACAATACCTATGAGTAAAATCCAGCTTATCATTGGTTTCCTTGTTCCGTAGATCGGCTACAATTACAGATAACATCATAAATTAATATACAGCACAGGGATATTACAAGAACAATAAATAAGTATACAAGACACACCTCACTCTCATCCAACCTGATCCACTCTTATGATTTACAATAAGAAATTGATTGCTTAACGTTGTTACCCCAAAGGGAAACGAGCTTGCATTATGCACAATAAACACACAATTGCGTACAATGTCATTATACACAATAAAAATGTACACATAAAAGAGGAGGGCGCTGGCAGACACTTGGTACCAGTGATGGTATACGTGGTCTCACACAATGTGAAGAGTGCATCGCAAACATTGCAACACTGCATAAGAACAGCCACTGAAATGTAATCAGTAATTTACAATTTGAAGTACAGCTGAACACATGAACAGCTGTCAGCTTGTGATGACAAATATGCAGACCCACACATGCAAAGGAACGAGGAGAAACAGAAGCACACACACATCTGTTATTCGGGTGTTTTTTGGTTTTTTTGATCACTGACACAAATCAGTTTTCATACCGTGTCAGTTAGCAGAGCTGTCACCTGACACCTTCTGACACAAAAACATTAAGTCATAGTAGTAAGTATTTGGACAATGGGTCGTTATACTAGATTAAAATAGACAGTCAAAAACACCAACATGAAATAAATGAGATGTTTGATTTGAGTCAACATCCAGAATCTTCTGTAGTCAGTGATATCAGATTTTTTTGTTTTGTTTTTTTTCCCCAGTAAATTAAAAATCGAAAGAAATAAACTCAGGCTATGGAATCATCATGGAAGCTCTGAAGAGAAGGCGAGGTCATCTCTGTAAATGTCAGCTCTTATCCAACTGTGTGGTTTTCTGTTGTCTTGTTCACAACAGACTTTTTTTTTTATCAAAACCGCAGTAATACCAAATATCCGCCCTCTTTCCTCTGTTACTTTTTTCTTGAGGCTAATTGCTCAACTCTTTACATGAGAATAAATGAGCATTACTTCTCCTTTTGTTTTCGCCTCTGCATCTGCAGGGACAATGGCACACGGCAAAATGAAAACAGTGCTGCTTTTTCTAATCACAGATGAATTGAAACACTGCTGGCAGACTTTATTATCATACGGCTCAGTGGCGGTTTATTTATCTCGTGGTCAGGCATGTGCGAGAAGAGACAACAGGAGAAATAGAGTTAGAAGACGTGATTAGAATTTCCTTCCCTTCAAACACTGGCAAGGCTTTTATGTTCCATCTAGAAGGGACAGAAGTCAAGTTTTTATCTAGTTAGTTGACCACATTTTCAGTTGTTGCCTTAGTGGTTGCTATTGTAATCACATTTGCAGCCAATCCGTGTATGTTTTCATTTGATGGAGACAAGCCCCAGGGAAGACTTATGTAGAGAAATGTCTCTTTTTCATTAGGCAAATGGAAACAGACAGAATCTAGGAGAAGACAGATGTGATGGTCCGGAGAGAGAACTAGGGAGAGAAGGAGGGGATTTAAAAGAGAGGGGGAAAGAGCGAGAAAATCTAACTGCAATGGTTCTCTTCTCGGACACAGTCTTCCCTTCTTCTCACATCGGCAGCAGAGAGGCAGTTAACTAAGTCATTGGAGCAATTAATGCAGTGTGTGCAGCCTAAGTGAGCAGACGTAGTTGCTAGCGTAACTGAAGGATGGTTGGCGGCAGCGGGAGACAGACTGCTTTGTCAGGCCCAGTGAATATTGTGCACTGCAGTAGATATGTTGCAAGGCTGCAAAGGGAAAACCACGGAGATTTATGAGCACTTCACAGCATGTATGACATAAACAGTAAATGATTGTGTTATGGAAGGAAGTGAATATTGCTATGAAATTTCCATAGGCAAGTGGAGTGAAGCTGTTACTCTGAGTAATGCTGTAACCTCTTGGTTCTCAGAGGGCAGCCTTTGGGTCAGACGAGTTCACGTCTAGTCATTTTGAGTAAATAAATCGATTAGCAGAAACGAGACTGGAATTTTAAAGAGACTTTGACAAGCTCCATATGCTGATAAATGAGCTGATAGATAGTATTACATTGGCTGATTGCTGTTGGAAATGTTATATTCACTGGAGAATAAATATTCTCATTAGAGCCAACTGATTTAAGTGAACTAAGCCTGCAAGCCTGTAGACTAATGAAGCATCAGTGATTGTGGCTAATTTTACTCACAGCAAGCGTAAGTCAATTGATCATTTAACTGGATATTTACAAATGTAAATATCTTCTGTAAAATGTGAAGCTTATAAATCACAAATTGATGTTTTAATCTGGAAGCAAAAGTTCACTCACTGTGTCTTTTCAGTATTGAGAGATGGGTCATCAAGTCAGTGTGAAGTGCCGAGAGACCCTCGCTTCCCAGAGTGTCCTGGAAAAGTAGACGTGAGTATTTAGCTGTTCTCTTCATTTCACTGTGTGAAACTGACGAGTTGATTTGGGCTTAATGAGGGTATAACTACCCAATTAAATAATAAACTTTAAGATACTATATCTAAAAGAAAAAATAACACGATTTCTATCAACACTAATTTGGTTTTGGCAGCATGGCTCTGTAATGTGACCTCTCCACCCTTCCTCACGCATACATGAAGCACACTTCCCAGCTGTTAGATTTCCATTTCTTCTTCTGGCTTTATGAAAAGCCAGAAGAAGAAAGAAGCACAGAACATAACAGGCGTCAGTGTCAGTAAATATGACACTAAATAAAGAGTTATGATGGGTTTCAAAGCAGCTTGCACCTGTGGACAGCCTGCTTAAAACCAGCTTTACCAACACATCCTTTAGGAGTTTTACCATCAGCTGATCTTCCACACAGCAGACCAAGCTCCTCTGCCGGTCACACCTAAATCTGGAACTTCCTAATTTTATAAATGTGCAGTTATTAATAGAAAATAATTTAAAAACATTTTGTTACCATTATTTTGTCCTGTTGCAGAAAGAAAGTTGTGAGTTGTTAATTGTTGTTTCATATATATCAATATCTATATCTATATATCTATCTATATATTGATATATATATAGATATATAGATATATAGATATAGATATAGATATATTGGAGTCAGATGATTAAATCTTTGGTAAGTAATTTTTTCTGTTTTTGCGTGTATACATATTTCTCCCTGTGTGTCCTCCAGTGGATGCGTGCACGGTGGACATCAGATCCTTGCTATGCCTTCTATGGTGTTGATGGTTCAGACTGTTCTTTCCTCATCTACCTGAGTGAGGTTGAGTGGTTCTGCCCCTCACTGGCCTGGA